ATACGCAATCGGCGTCATGAGTCCACAAATCTCGCAAATGTGGACTCGGTAGGCGTCCGACACCTCAAACAGACGCTCCTTCAAAAAAGCCGCCGCACCGTGCGCAATCATGCAGTCGCGCTCCATTTCACCGAACCGCAGACCGCCGTCGCGCGCACGACCCTCTACCGGCTGCCGCGTCATGATCTGCACGGGGCCGCGCGCGCGCGCGTGGATCTTGTCGTCGACCATGTGGCGCAGGCGCTGGTAGTAGGTCGGGCCGAAGAAGACCTGGGCGCGCAGCTTGCGGCCCGTGTGGCCGTGGTACAGGATCTCAAAGCCGCGCGACTGGTAGCCGTGCTCGCGCAGCAGCCCGGACACGGAGTCCACCGTGACGTCGGTAAACGGCGTCGCGTCGCCCTCCATGCCCTTGAGCGTCGCCACCTTGCTCAGCAGACACTCAATCAAGTGCGCAATCGTCATGCGCGACGGGATGGCGTGTGGGTTGATGATAATGTCCGGCGTGATGCCCTCGGCCGTGAACGGCATGTCCTCGTGGCGGTACGCGAGGCCAATGGTGCCCTTTTGGCCGTGGCGCGACGCAAACTTGTCGCCAATCTGCGGGATCTTGGTCGTGCGCACCCGCACCTTGACGTACCGCAGGTTGTCCTGGTTCGTCGTCACCACGACCTGGTCGACAATGCCGTTCTCCGTACTACGCAGCGGCGTCGACGCGTCGCGCTTCACGTGCGACTGCGTGCGCTGGCCCAGCTCCTGGTGGTCCAGGTTGATGGGCGACGTCTTGCCAATGATAATGTCCTCGCCGGACACGCGCACGCCGGGCGCCACAATGCCGTCGTCGTCCAGCTTGTCGTACGTGCCGTGCTTGAGGCGCAGCGTGTCGCTGCGGAACGGCTTCTCAAACGTCTCGACAAAGTTGATGCCCACGCGCTTCTCCGAGTCCGTGTACGCGCGGAAGAACAGGCTGCGGAACAGGCCGCGGTCGATGCTGCTCTGGTTCATAATCACCGAATCTTCCTGGTTGTAGCCCGAGTAGCACAGAATCGCCACAATCGCGTTCTGCCCCGCCGGCAGCTCGCGGAACTTGAGGTACTCCATCGACCGCGTCGTCGCCAGCGGCTTCTGCGGGTAGTACAGCACGTTGGCCATGGTGTCCATGCGCCGCGGGTAGTTGGTCAGGAAGAAGCCCATGGCCTGCTTGCCCATGGCCGACTGGTACGTGTTGCGCGGCGACTGGTTGTGGTCGGGGAAGGGGATGATGCTGGCGCAGATGCCCAGCAGCATGCTCGGGTGGATCTCGCAGTGCGTGTACATGTGCGTCGTCGGGTTCACCTTGGTCTTGACCCGCTTGTTGATGTCCTCGTCGGTGACGTCCTCGGGGATCTCGTAGCCCGCCTTCTGCAGCCGGTAGTTGTCCAGGTCCTCCGGCGTCATGCAGATCATCGCCGTCTCCTCCTCCTCGGCGTCCAGGTACTCAATCGCACCCGCCTCGCAGATGCCGTCCCAGCCAAAGAACCGGGGGTCGTCGCGCGGCAGCGCGTCGTCCTCGTCCAGCCGCTGGATGTGCTCCTTGGTCAGCAGCAGCTGGCCCTTTTCCCGGCCGGACTCGGCTTTTTCCTCCTGCTCAATCGCAAACAGCGGCCGCATGACCCGGCCGGCGTCCGAGAAGATCTTGAACTCGCGGTCGCGAATGTCGCGCACCAGCGACACCTCCGACTGGATGACGCCCTTGCGGCGCAGGCCCTGCACCAGACTGACCAGGTGCTTGGGGTCCTGGTGCACGCCGACCCAGCTGCCGTTGACAAAGACCTTGGTCGCGTTGGGGTAGCGCACGGGCTCGTACTCCTCGAGCACCTCCATGTTGCGCGCAATCATAAACTCCACAATGGGGTCGGCGGGCGTGCCCACGCTGACGTAGCACATGAGCGACAGGTTCTTGACGAGGCCGCAGGCCTGGCCCTCGGGCGTCTCGGCCGGGCACACGAGACCCCAGTGCGTGTTGTGCAGCTGGCGCGGCTTGGCCAGCTTGCCGTCGCGGCCGATGGGCGTGTTGGTGCGGCGCAGGTGCGACAGGGTCGAGGCAAACGTGTAGCGGTTCAGCACCTGCGACACGCCGGCCGTCGAGCTCATGGCCTTCTTCTGGTCGCCCCAGTTGCCCGTGGCGAGCGAGTACTTGAGGCCGTTGGTCAGCGTCTGGTGGCGGATGCCGACGCGCAGGTCAAAGTGCTTGCCCGTGTCGACGCAGCGCTTCAGGTGGTTCATCAGCTCCTGGTACATCTTGCGGATGATGCCCCGGAACAGCTTGGCCAGCAGCGGGCCCGCCAGGTCCAGGCGCTTCTTGCCAAAGTGGTCGCGGTCGTCGGTGTCGCGGCGGCCGAGGGCGCACTGCAGCAGCTTGTGGACCATGTAGCCCAAGAAGAAGGCTTTGCGCGTCTCGCAGCCCTCGCTCTGCGAAATGTGCGGCAGCATCTCCTTTTGCAGAATGTCGCGCGCGGCGCGCACGCGGTCCTTGCGGCTGACGGCGTGCGAGTTCTGGCCACGCTTGCCAATGTAGTCGAGCGCGACCTCGCGGTCCTGGATGCAAAAGGCCTCCTCGATGCACGGCCGCAGCATCTCCAGCATCTGGCTGTCGTGGCGGTCGTAGCAGATGTGGTTCAGAATGTCCTCGTCGGACACGACGCCGAGGGCGCGGAAGACGACGGCGATGGGCAGCTCGGACTTGATGTACGGCAGGGTGCTGTGGACGGTCTGCCCGAAGCTGCCGCGCTGCGTGTCGCCCTTGGTCAGCAGCATGATGCTCAACGACGAGATCAGCCGCGAGCCCTTTTCGAGCGCGCTGCGAATCTCGGCGGTGTAGGAGAACTTGCTGGGCTGGGCCTTCTTGAAGACCTGCACGATGTTGGCGGCCGAGCGCTCCTGGGCGATCAGGACCTTTTCGGAGCCGTTGATGATAAAGTAGCCGCCCTGGTCGTAGGGGCACTCGTTGAGCAGAAACAGGCCTTCCTCGTCCTCGGTGGCCAGGTGGCAGATCTTGGAGCGCACCATAATGGGCAGGCGACCCATGAACACCATGTCCTTCATGTCCTCGTCCGTCTTGTCCTTTTCCACGTCGGCCACCTCGGCGGCCTCCTCCTCCCAGACGATGCGCGTGGGCTGCTCGCCGGTCTGGTTCATCTCCTGAATCTGCTCTTCGTCGAGCTCGTCGTAGGGGATCTCCTCGTCGACGGCCAGCGACACTTTTTTGGTGATGCGCGCGTAGATGGGGCACGAGTAGGTCAGGTTGCGGTCGCGGCACTCGTAGGGCGTCAGCGTGGACACGCGGCCGTCGCCTTCGGCGAACTGCGGCTTGGACACCATGACGCTGCCAAACTTGATTTCATAGCGACGCAGCTTGACGGGGCGGTCGGCGGTGATGGGCGGGTTGCTCTGGTCGAGCGTCAAGAGGGAGTGCTCGTCGATGAGCGACTGGACCGTGGTGGTCGTAAACTCGTTGAAGGAATCGATCTGCTGCGAGACCAAGCTCTTCTTCTCAAAGTAGGACGAGATGACCTTCCAGCAGTCCTCGGGCGTGATGCTCTCGTCGCCCTCGCCCTCGCCTTCGACAATGTCGTCGTACTCGTAACCGTCGTCGTAGTCGGCCATGATGAGGGCGTGGTCGGAAGATAAAATGGGAGGTGGTAGGAGAGATGGCGGGTCGATGCAAAAGTGAGAAGAAGCAGAGATCAACGATTTTCACCGACAAAGGCGAATGGGTCGGAAGCGTCGGGCGCGGCGGCGAGCAAGGGACCGGTGGCTGTCGTGCAACGGCACACAGGTCAAGACGAGACAGAGTCGAATCGATGGACGCGGTCAGCGAAGCAGACGGGAGTCGACCTGCAGATCTGGGCCAGGCGAAGCGACCGCGACGCGTTTCTGCACTCCCCAGCTGTCGAGATCAGCGCATGCAGGGCGGACGGCGCAACGCGGAAAAGAGAAAAAACGAATCGAACACAACGAATGGCGAGATGACAAGGAGCGGGCAAAGGCGTGTCGTCGAGGGCGAGACCGCGTGGTGGCAGCAGTGCGGTGGTCGACAAAAAACTCGCGATGGCAACAAAGTGGATGTAGAAG